TAAACCCTTAAGTTTGGAGATGGAGGCCACGAGTCCCTTCTCAGAGACACCACGGGGGGAGCAGTGGGCTGCAGCGAGAGTCCAGCTGTCCTGACTCCACGGCACCGTGCTGGTTCCCCATAGCCACCCCAGCTGCAGTGCCCCCACACACACATCTGCCACCGCACCCCAGCGCCTTCTGCAGACTTGACAATCCAACTTGAACACCCACAGTGAAACTCCGGATCTTCATTATCCAAACTCCTTATCCTGCATCTCCTGTATCTCTCCTTTTCCTTTTTGACTTTTGTTTGTTTGTTTGTATTTTGAGACAGTCTCACTCTGGCGCGCTAGACAGAGTGCCATGGCATCATAGCTCACAGCAACCTCAAACTCCTGGGTTCCAATCCTCCTGCCTCAGCCTTCTGGGACTACAGGTGCCCAGGATACTACACACGGCTCATTTTTCTATTTTTATTAGAGATGGGTTCTTGCTCTTGCTCAGGCTGGTCTCAAACTCCTGAGCTCAAGGGATCTTCCCATCTCGGCCTCCCCGAGTGCTGGGATTCCAGGAGTAAGTAAGCCACCGGGCCAGCCACCTGTATCTCTTCATATCACTCCACACCTTGGCATCACCCTTGGCCTCGCCCATCCCCCAACACCCAAAATTCCACTAATCCTGAAACCCCAGCGACATTCACCTAGACTTGGAAACAGCTCTGGAATCTGCTGTCCCCACTGCTGCCGCTCACATTTGGGCCTCAGCAACTCACACACAGACTCTACATTTCAAGAGACCCCCAACCTTGTTGCCTGCCCTGATCTTTCTGGAGCTCCGCCCTCCTCCACACTGTGGCCAAAGCAGTATCTCTAAAACCTGGATCTGCAAAAACAGACGCTACTTACAGGAGGAGGCAGGTCTGGGGCTACAGGCTGAGCTTTTATAATTTGGGGATTCTTTTTAAGATCCCAGCATCCTGCCCAGGACTGGGCATGTCTAGGAGCATAATCAGTAATTGCTTTCAGTTACTGGTTTTTAATAAACACAGTGCTTCAGTCTATTTTCAATCCATAAGCATGTCATCCCATGTGATCCTCAGAACACACTCATTGAAACTGGTCAGGCGAACGCTGCGTTACACTTTAGAGAGAGGAGACTGATGCCTTCCCCAAGGTCCTCCCGCTAGTTTTGCAGCAGAACTGATTTGCAACCCTTTGCCCCCACCCCACCCCACCATGCTCCCATCTCACCCCGGGGAAGGGGGTCTGCTGGAGGCCAGGATCATTGCCATCCTCCTGCTTCCCCCAGGGTGGATGTGCACAGCCACAGCACACCCCTGTGAAGGTACCCAAGGCCTTTCTCTAACCACATCAGTTTCTCAAAGTTCAGTGTGACCGGGGACAGGTCTCCCCTCTCTTCTCCTGCAGCAGGAATGACGGAGTCCCTGGTTGAGAGCACAGCAGCAAACAGACAGCCCTCATGCCTACCGGTTTCCCGGCCGGACCAGCACCTTAACTGCCTAACAATTCCCACCTCTCAGGACGACTCAGAGGCGGAGATGCCAGAGGCCTGCAGAGCACTTCACACAGCACCTGGCAATGGACAAGTGCTGAAATCAAGGCAGTGCCTTTATGGGGAGGATCCCACGTGCTCAGTGCCACCTGATAAGCCTCGGTCACTGTGCACAGTTCACCCCCATGGTCAGCGCATTGATGCAGGTCCTGTTCTCTCCTTTTCAAACCGTGCACAGACCTACCATAAAAGCATGAAGAAGCCTGCAGAAAAGCCGGCCACAACCAAAAGGACGGCCGGAAACACGTCAGCCAGCACCAGGAGAATAAATGCCACCAGAAAAAACTGCTGCAGAAAGTTCTCCGCATGAAACGGCAGCCTCACGTCCAGCTCGTCCATGTCTTTGGAAAAGCGGTTCATTAGCCTGCCAGTGGGAGTCGTGTCGAAGAAGCTCATCGGGCTCTTTAAGACCTGTGGATAAAGCAGAGAATCAGACAGATTAAGGAGGCACTCAGCAAGCCCGCTGCTCTGCGGTGTGCGCAGGGCCCGGCCTTGTCTCCGTGAGAAAGGGAAGACGCTCCCCATTCTCGCAGCCACCCGGAATGAGAGTGACTGAGGGAGAGATTCGGCTACTGTGCAGGGGTCCAGAGCAAGTCCCCCGAGGTCAGGCTCGCCCTCCCATCTGGGGTACATCCAGGGGAGAGAGAGGCTGGTGTCTTTGTATGAGGGTGAAATTTTGTGCTCCAGGGCAATAAAAAGCCTAGTTCCACTTT